GACCTGCCACCCGGCCACCCGCGGCACCCCCACAGCACCCCCACTTCCCTGGGGTGCCTGGCTGGTACTGGCACCCAGCACTCCAGCAGCACCTTTGGGAGGGTCTGTCTCTTGCCCCGTGGTCCCCGTGGCCGGAGCAGCACAGGAGGGTGGTGGCACATCAGAGGTGGGGAGTCCAGCAGGAGGATGAAGATGGTGAAGGCTGAGAGCTCCAGGCTGAGCTTTACCATTATGCAGGGTCCAACGGAGTCTGTGCCCACGGCAGAGCTCAGGGACGAGGCACCCGGCCCAGGGCAGGCTGGAACTGCTGGGGAGTTCCTCACTGCAGGCAGGGCCCAGGGGTGGCTCCGGGGGTACACGTGGTGGCTCAGAGGTCGCTGCCAGCCTCGCCCTTGCCGGGCAGCCCATTGAGGGGGCTCAGCGCTGGGCGGTTGCTCTCATTCAGCCGTCGCACGCGGTAGCTCTCGTAATGGACGTTGTGGGTGATGTCCTTCAGGTCCTGCAGGTGGGACCTGCCGGGGCGGAAGCAGGGAGGGAGGGCATCAGGTCATCACCCCATCACCCTGCTGTCCCTGTCGTGGGGTGCTTGCAGCATCCCCAGCCCCATCCCTTGCTCACCGGATCAGCAGGGCCCGCAGGAGGGGGAACTCGCAGTGTGTCGGGTTCTCCACTGCAAAGCAAGGCAGCGGGTGGAGGGATCCCAGGATGCACATCCCACAGGCTCTGGGTACCACCAGAGCACTGGCACAGCACGGTGCCGCACCCCCAGGCAGGGATGCACCCATAGGTGCTGCTCCCCGCACTCCCAGCAGACTCCCCCATGCCTGGGGCTGTAAGGGGCTCCACTCACCTTCAATGATGCCCCACTTGGTCTTGCGGCCCAGCACTCGCTTGCCATTGACCTGGTGCTCCTGGTCTGCTCCCACCACAGCAAAGGGGATCTTCTCCTGGCCAGTACAGAGCAGGGTGCTGTGCTTAACCCTGCTGTGGTCCCCAGGGGTTGGCATCCCCAATCCCAGCATCCCAGCACTCACCCGAATCCTGTCATTCAGCACCCTGTCATCCGGATCCTGGTCAAAGTCCTCCTGCGGGTACACGCTGATGGCGTGGGTCTTCAGGTCCTCCTGGATCTGCGGGACACAGGGCTTGAGATGGGGCAGGGGGACACATGGGAGCCCCTTGGGGTCCTGTCCTCACCTGCTGCTTGAACTCTGCCCGTTCCTCCAGCGTGAGAGTGTCAGCTTTGGCGATCACCGGCACCACGTTGACGATCTTACTGAGCCGCCGCATGAACTCCAGGTCCAGTGGGCGCAGCCTGACATGGGCCACCATCAACCCAGAGTGACCCCACAAACATCACCCCAGGGTGACCCCAACACCATCACCCTGGAGTGATCCACACCACCAAGCAGGGAGCACCCATGGGTGCTGTGATTAGGTACTCACCAGTGACCCGTGGGGGGGATGAAGTAGACACATCCATGGACTCGGGTGTCCGGGATCTTCCTTTTGCGAGTGATGAGGATCTCCTCACGCAGGTACCTCTCATACTGCTCATTGATGTATTTGATGATGGGGTCCCAGCTGAGGATGAGGAGTTGAGGGACAGCATCTGAGCTCAACCCTCACCCCAAACTGCCACTCACCAAGCTGGGATACTGCACCCCAGAGTGTCCTACCAGTTCTCGTTGTTGATCTGGTCCCCAAACCCTGGTGTGTCTGTCACTGTCAGCTTCATCTTCACACCCTTCTCCTCAATGACTATGGGGCAAAGATATGGGTCAGCGGGGACCAAACATGGGGAGCAGCAGGGGATTTGGGGTGGAGGCTCTGAGGCCAGGGATGCAGCCTCAGACACGGACACAGAGTCCCCTGCTTCTCCCCAGGGCTTGTGGGACACGACCCCGTGGTGGTGACTGTACCATGGGTGATAGACTGCAGCTGCACGGTCTTGGGGATGCGTTCCTCCTGGCCAGGCTGCGAAGCTTTGCGGCTCACCTTGGACTTGAACAGGGTGTTCACCATTGTCGACTTCCCCAGCCCACTCTGCCCTGCAGGGATGTGGCAGCTCCAGTTTGTCCCACACGATAAATTAACCCCCCTCTGGATCCATTTAGGAGCATCCCAGAGGGTGGGATAGCTCTGATTTGTCTCTCCAATGAACTTATTCCCTAGGATGATAACACCTTGGTATCTATTTGGGAGCACCCCAGAGGTTGGGATAGGTCTGGTCTATCCCACAGATAGATTTATTCCCAAGGCAATAACCCCTTGGTAGCCATTTGGGAGCATCCCAGAGGTTGAGCTGATCTCCCCCGCCAGCATCACTGCATTATGGGGTATGGGATGTTACTCCTCTTCAATTTATTGCTGCTTAAATCCTTTAAAAGCATGATTCCCCCTGGCACGGTGGCATTGGAGCCGTGATTCATGCCCCAGCCGGGATAAACCCCATGCCTTGCACTCACCCACAACCATGATATTGAACTCGAAGCCCGTCTTCATGGTTTTGATCTTCATCTGGTCCAGCACAGCTTCGATTCCCACGTAACCGAAGAGCTGGCATCCCGCCGGGCTA